CCAAAGAATCGACATAGGTAGTATGCCAATCACCCAGTCGCTCAAAGCGGCAATAACACTGTGGGCGACTGTTGCGTTCGGCACGAGATGGGCAGGGCGACAGCTGCCCTGGAGTCCTTCGAACTTGCCCCAGTAATAGTTGGGCGGGTTGCACTGGAAGACGACTATGAAGAGGTAAACCAAAGACGAGACCCAGACCAAGGCGATGTTGGCTTGCAGCATCTTCTTAGCCAGCTTGTTTGTCCCGCGGTTGAAGATGCGGAGGAGGAAGAGGCAGATCGAGGTCCGGATGAGGGCGGATATGAAGGCGTAAAGAATCTCGCACATGTACCAGACCTTGAGCGCTATAACAATGCTGTCTGGGTCCAGATCTGAGGTATGTCGGCCTATGCCGCCGTTGATAATACCGTGGACGGCGGCGGCTGCGTAAACGGTGTACATGACCTTGGGTGTTGTTAGACCGGTCGTGCGGCCATGATCTGGAAACGAAGGCTTACGGTTGAAAGATACATAACGCCATCGTCGACTGTATGGCTCTTCGTGAGGGCTATTTTCACGTATAGTCGAAGACTTGTGGCAATCCAGGCTGCCGCGAGAAATGCCGCCTGCACGCCGAGGAGCTCGGGGCCCCTGTTCTGTTGCGATGGCATACTTTCGAGGTCTCAGTCTTTGTAAAAGACAGTTCGTTCAACGCAGATGGGTCAATAGGTGAAGGGATACTCCGAATTATCTACACAGGAGCAAAGTGTATTCTAAACGTCGTAGGGCTATGGATTTATAATGTTGCTTCACAAGGAAACCTTGGGGGCATATTTCACCCACAACACCGTCGTTAATGATATATATGGGACCAAGAAAAGGTAAAAAAGAAATGAAAAAGTGGTGAAACCAGAGGATAACTCAGGATAACTCTCGCGGAGCACTCTAACAGATGTTGTTATACTTGAACTCAGATGCAGGTTATGTTTGATCACGATCCAGAACTCTTCACAAACCATGGTGTTTCACCATTTCCAGGTCTTCATCCGTTACTACTTAATTATGAACAATCAGCATGTTACACTTTCTATTACTAACTGTTACTGTTGTTACTGAGCCAGACAGCAACGATGCGTGATATAAGGCAGTGACGTCGCCATGGGTAACGCGGAAATCAATAGACTTGGAAGCAAGACTACGAGAGAGACTGCTATGTAATCTTGGCATACGCTATGGTTGATTCGTTTCAACAAGCATCACGATCTACCTAGACAACAGAAGCATGAGGAAGAAAGGGCCGCTTGGACACACAGAACGCTTCGTTCTCTAGGCTCTACTATATTCTAGTTCAAATTTCATGGCCGGAACAATTGATAGAGAGATCAGCAGAATGCTAGGCGCACTGTTGCATTCTGCAGACTGGAATCGTATTACTTTTTCCCCAGCACGTTACTAATGGATAGAGCTCTATGTTCCCCAGCAATTTGCCACAAAGACATGGTTGACAAATACGCTCTCCTGAGTCTCCTAGCGTCTAAATAACGTGAGCTTCAGCAATGCCGATCTGTGCAATGGCTTTTACCTCAGCTCGGCTCCTGCTGAGAGACACGAGGGAGCTGCGTTTGAGTCGTGACTTACGCATCTGCCGAAACCTGGTGTTTTTGTTTTCTCATGAAACTAGTTTCCTGTAGTTTGTGAACTGTCACATGTTCCTTGTTCAGGTCATAGTGGCGGATCAAGAAGCTTGCAGCAAAGGCAATCGCCGCCAACGCAACGTAAACGCTGTGTACGCCCTTGAGACCCGAGGCATACGATTGCAGCACGCTTCTCTTGAACGAATCATCAGGTAGCGTCCGGAGAACGACGAGGTACTCCTCGGCGTGCTGCGCAATGCTTCTTGTAATGCCTTTCCGCTCGAGCTCTGCAGCCATCACGTTTTGAAATGTTGTTGAGCCGATGTTGACACCGACAGCGGACCCCAACATGCGTAGGAACAGATACATGGCCGCCGCAGCACCTGAATCACTTTCATCGACGATGGCGCCCGTCACAAAGGTCTGCGTATTAAGGACGAGGCCGTGTCCGATGCCAGCGATGGCGAGAGTGACGACGTTGACGACCAAGTGGGTATCAACGCTCCAACTGATGAAAAGGCCCGAGGCAGCCGCCACCAGAACCCAGCCCATCCAGATAGACCAGCGGTAAGCATTCAAGCGGGACACGAGGACACCTGAGATGATGGAGCCAGGAACCAGCAAGAGCGTTACCGGAAGCATTGCCACGCCCGCCATGGTCGGCGTCTTCTGTTTGACTGAGAGGAAGTAGAACGGGACGTAATAGAGTTGGC